GGCTGAGCGGCCGGCACCGCACCGCAGCGGGTGCAGACAATGGGAGCGGCGCCGGCCGCAGCGGAGACCCAAGCCCCAGGCGGATGCGAGGCCGCGCCATGAGCCCCGCAGCCGGGCGCCCCCCTGCGCCGCGCGCGGGCCGAGGCGAGCGGCCTCTGAGACCCCGGGCCCCGCCTTGGGGCCGGCGATGAGCAGCCGGGGCTGAGGATGATGGTAGATTGCCAGGTAGGTCTGCTCCCGGCCACGGCCGGCCCACGCGCTCCCGCCCACGCCCCACCCCCGCGGGGAGCCAGCGCCGCGTCCACGCAGAGCGCGCGCTTACGCAGTTCCCGTCCACCTACCACCCGCCGCACCCCCCCGCACTGTTGGGAAACTGAGGTCAGAAAAGCGACTGGCCCAGGGGGTCACGCCAGGTGGACAGGATCCAGCAGAGAAGGAAGGGACCTGGCCTCCTGGGCCCAGGCTCCACCCTCCCACCGGGCTCGCTTTGAAGACGAGAGCAGCTGAGATCCTGGGGGACCCCTGCCCACCCGCTCCATGCGGGGGGCCCCCCCGACCACCTCCACGCACGCACAAGCACAGGCGCACGCGCGAGCACAGCTGTTCACCCACACTGGCGGTCTAGGTATCGGAGGAGGGCGTGACACGGGGGAGGTAGTAAGGAGAAAGAAGGAAGAGGTGGGAGCCAGCGCGGTCCTGCGACGGGGCGTCCAGCCTCGTAGAGGCTCGCCTCGGCCCTGAGGGAGATGTGCCGGGCTGATGGGCAGAAGGGGGCCCTTGATTCCCACGGTCCACCTGTTAGGGGCTGACTTCAAGGCAATCTGGAGAGGACACGGCCTTGGCCCATGGCTCTGAACGCCTGGAACAAGGACAAGAGTGTGCCTGGTGTGGAGGGGGATACAGGGAGAAGGCTTCAGTTTCCGTCTCCACAAAGCAAGGGTGCTTGGCCTGGTGACCCCAACAGTCCCACCGGCTTGTAGAGCGCTTTCTGTCGGTGGCCAGTGGCCCACCAAGGGCCTTGGAAAGTGCTTTCTCCTCCCTGACCAGAGAGCAGCCCTCCGACCTGCCCTGGACCACTTGTCTTTGTTGGAGCCTTGGGGTCGTCATTCTGAATTGTGGTCGGGGTCATTGTTTTGGCTGGGGTAATGAGGGAGTGAACCGGACACAGTGGGAGCAGCAGATGGAAGGAGGGGAACACCTTGAGGTTTCTGGGATCCCTCTCGGTATTCAGGGAACCTGTAGATCCTGCTCCTTTTCCTCCCCAGAGCTTGAGAAAGGCAGCTTCCTTGACAACAGCCGAACAAAGGTGTGTGTTTTGTTTAGTGGATTTCTTGCCTTGGGCTGCAGTGCCTAAACTGACCGCCTGGGGGCAGCAGTGCCACCCTGCCTGGAATCCAGGAAGAACCCCAGCCAGGGTCAGGTTGTGTGTGCTCTGCCTGTCGCCCGGCCAGACCTCCCATCAGGAACGACTCTGTCCCAAGTATGAACTGCTCAGGGGTGGGGATGTGCTCGACCTCCTTTCCTCTTGTCTTCCTGGGGGCTGGACCTGTGTGACAGCGTCATCCCAGGCTTGCCTCTGACAGCAGACGTGGGCAATGTCAGCTTCTATGTGCCTGCACCCAGGCCAGTTCAGCCTCGGGCCTCTGCCCGTGGTCTCTAGGAGGTGGGGCTTTCTGCTCCATGGTGGCTGGGCTGGGACAGCAAAAGCGACTCTTTCCTGTGTTGCTGGTAGAATCCGGTTTGGATTGAGGGCCTCAGATCTCCTGTATCTGTTGGCCAGAGCCCTCCGAGCCTCCCTGACACGTGGGTCCCACAGAAGGCCCAAACATCGGGACAGGCTCCCCTGTGAGGAGGGGCAGGTGGGTAGCCTGCAGGAAAAAGCAACAAGACAGAAGGCTCGGTGTTCAGTAGTGACCTCACCTCTCCCATGGGTTGGAGGCCAGTCCCAAAATTCAGCCTGTCCCAGGGGGAGAGATCAGGGAAGAAGTGTACTGAGGCAGGGAGGCCTAGGAGCCAAGCTGGGGGTGCCCGAGGGGAAGCCTGGGGCTTGAGTCTGAGCTTAATGGGGAACCCCTGAGGGTGTTCCCTCAGGGGTTCCCCATGAACCACAGAGAGTGACAATACCTGGACTGTGCTCACTTTTCAACCCTCGACTAGGAACCAGACAAGAGTGGAGTGGGGTAACTTTCCCTGAAGCCTGCACCAGAGCCCATTTGAGTTGGATTGTTGGCTGAGCTCTGTCTCCCCTTGGAATTTTCCAACTCTAAGCACACGCCTGCGCCAAGGGCCCGCCAGCCTTTGATTTTATAGGTGTCTTCTCTTGTTCCTGTTCACCTGGGTGTGAGAAGCCCTGGGACACAGATAATAGAATGACCTGCCCGTGCACACGGAGCACCCTGGGCGCGCCAGAGGGGAGCTAGGTAGCCCAAGTGATGACGCCAGCTCCTGAGCCTCAGGGGTCGGGCCCTGCAAGCCCAGGGCTCAGCTGTCCCAGTCCCTAGGGAAGCTCCTGCCTGAGGCGGCCTCAGCTGGCTGTGACCTCCACCCTGTTCTCTGACCCCTTCCACACTGCTGTCCCTGGATGGTTAACCTCTGAATGTGATGAAGTACTTAAGGAGGGGACTCCGGCTCTTCCTGGCCCAGGCCACTACAGAGGAGGCAGCCGGATGGTCCAGGAGGCTGCGGGGAAAGGGTGGCAGTGTTCTTCCAGGAGTGGTGCCGGAAGGAAGCGTCCTGAGCTTGTGTTCATTCAGGGAGCTGAAGTGCGAGGGTGACCACCTAGCATGGTGCGGGGACCCAGCCTAGCGTCCATTGTGCCAGTGTCCCAGGCTCTTAACCAAGTGCTGCCCACCTTCCCTGCTCCAAAAGTCTAACGTCGAGGTGTCACAGGGCCGTGCTTGCAAACACACAGCTCCAAACTCTGCCGCTGGGTGTCTGGGTCCGCTTGTCCTCATTGATATGAGAATGCCAGTTGTCCCCCTAGGGTCCAGGCTGGTCCAGAGTTCACACTAATTCTGTCTGCGGAGGCCTTATTTCCATTTTCATTCATAGGCGCCGGGATCTTTTGAGGGGACACAGTCTAACCCATAATAGGGGTGTTGAGAAAGATTCGCTTCCCAGAAGCCAGGTGCCTATGGGGTCCTGGGGAGCAGTGGGGTATCTGGGGACAGGACAGGACTGGACCTTAGTCCCTGGTTAGAGAGCGTAGGCCTAAACCAGACTGCCTCTCCTCGCTTGGCAATTCCAGAACCAGCAGGTGGCGCTGTGACCTGGGGTTTGGTCACCCTGGCCTACCCCAAACTGTGGCAAAGGTGTCATCCTCTTGTTGCTAGGAGTTGACACCTAACTGTAAACAGACTAGAAGCACAGTCATTTCATGGGTGACGTGTACCAAGGAAATCAAACCAGACAGGGCCGCAGGGTGGTGGTGGTGGGCAGCCCCTGGGAAGACTGGCAGGGCCAGGCCCAGGGGACAGTGCTTGTGTCCCTTTTACCCTCACCTGCAGGCAGAGCTGGCCCTCTTGGCCTTGCAGAGCCTGCAGCTGTCGCGCAGCGTGGTCTCCAGGCCGTGAGCGGTTGCAGGGCAGTGGTGGGGGCCGTGGTAGTCACCGTGGGGCAGCATCTCTGGGGACCGGGGAGCTGTTTATGCAGGACAAGACCCTGCCCTGCGGCCTCTGGCAAGAGGAAGCAGGGTCTTCAGATGCCCCCCTGACATGGAGGGAGGTAGGGCCCCTGGGACTCCCACAGACAGCATGATTGGGTGGAGCAACCCTGAGCCGAGGCTGACCCTCGCTGCCACTGTCCTCTGTGCACTCCTGAGCCCCACGCAGCCCCTTCCACCATCTCACTGGTGCTGGGCTGTGGCTCACCCATGGCCCCTGTGGCTGTGGCCCATGGAGGCCTTGGAGCGTGGGCTCCGCAGAGTGCCCACCGGGCTGCAGTCTAAGGGACAGGACAGAGTGTGGACCCAGGGCTGTGGGTCGCAGTGCATTCTAGGAGAAGCGCAAGAGGAAGCCAGGCCACGCCCACGCCTCTGCTGGGCTGTGGGAGGAAGACACCGTGGTGACGGCCCTCTGCACGTGCCTTGCCTGAGCATGGTGCCCCCTGTGTCTGCCCAGGCTCTGCCGCAGAGCCCCCCATGTCAGGCACTGGCAAATCTGGAGGACAAGTCCCCTGTCCCTATGCAGACGAGCCCAGGGTGGGGCCAGGGCTGGGACCAAACCCCTGCCAATTACTGTGGGCTCCTGGTGGTCAGGGCTGGGGGTGGGGCAGGGCGGGACGTGGCGGGCAGGCCCCCCACGTAGTGGTTGCCAGCCGGCAGGACCCGGCTGAGCTGTAAACAGAGCCAGGCACCCTCTCATCTTCTCCCTGTGCTAATGAAGACCTTGGGCTCTGTGCTCTGCATTTCCTGGGGGTTCCTGAGTTGTGAGCCTCCAAGATTTTGCCCTGTCCCTTGGCTGTGGGAGGTGACCCCGGGGCAGGCAGGGGGCAGCCAAGTCGGGGTGAGGAAGTGGGGAGGAAAGGGACTGGGAAGCACTGTGGCATTCCCCTAAAAACGGCAAGAAGCCCTGGAAGGGTGAGTTCCCATGGCAGCCTGGATTGGTTGCTTGGCAACTGCAGGCCCCCAAAATACTAGCAGGGAGGCAGGCTCAGGGTGAGGGGCTTTCCGACAGCCTTGCACCGCTGTGAATTTAGCCTGACTTCTCACTGTTGCTTCACCCCACCCCCACCTCCAGGCAGGACCTGGCAGGCCCCCACCCCCTGGATCCTTCCTGAGGGAAACCCCAGTCGTGTCCCCGCCCCATCACCCCGCCTTCCCGCCACCTGGCGTTGGGCCAGTCCCCTAGCAACGGAGGCCATTTCCTGGATACCTGAGTGACAGTTGACAGAGGCAGTGTCTGAGGCGCAGTGAACAGACAGGCATGCATGGTGCATTGCCACACGCAGTAGCCACGGGCTCCCTGGACCCAGGACACAGTGGCAATGGCAGTATGGCTAGGATATACAGCCCCTGGAACAGGGAACTGTGGTTGTGGGCCACCTTGACCCTGACAGGCTGGATGAGCTAATCGTGGTGAAGCCCCTGGCCCCGTCTCCCCATCTGTGGCCACCCACCTGTGTCCATCGTTCAGTGCATTAACATTGCCCTTTCAACTGTGTCACCTCCCGGGGCTGTGGGGGAGCAGGACAGGGCCAGGCTGAGCCCTGCTCCCCACTGCACTGGC